ATTATAATTACAGGAAAAATTGTAGAACAATGAAAGCGATATTGTTTATGTGAATGGATTGGGAGTAATTGGGAGTGTAGTCCAGCACGTCAGGAGGCCGATTCTCAAGAGTCCGGTCGAAATTTAGTGCTGATCAACTCTCGATCTTGCAACTGTCATAAAAGGGATTTTCGTAGTATAATAGTATAGTATTACTAAGACTAGCAGATTACCGATTCAATTTTTATTTCAATATGATATAATCACATTACAGTTAACGGTGGATGTTTAATACTTTACTACGAAAATCCCTTTTATGATAGTTGTGAGATTGAGACTTGATCGGAACTGAATTGTGACTGAACTTTTATTACAATGACATTTGCAAAAAAATAAATGACTTGGAAGGGTGCTGTGTACATCGTATCAAAATTTGAGCTCAATCCGCGCAGAAATTTTTAAGTTTATGAAGCGTCTAGAAACCAACTTAACATTTTCACATATATAAATTATTTTACTTCTGTGGGTCGTCAAGCATAAATTTTTGGGCCAGGCAGCTGTAGTACATACATTTGAAAACAATTTTTTCCTAATATCTATGGTTTTATCATTTTTATCAAATAGCTATTTGAACATGTTTACGCATATCTGTAATAAATGTCGAAATATCGTGATAAGGCTGATACCTATTTCTGATATTACGATCTATTGATAGAACAATTATTATATAAAAACTACTCCCCTAGTGTTTGAATTTCGAACATAATCCACCAAACTTTACTTTTTTCGGTTTGTTCATTGTCCAATATTTCTTAAACCGTCATTTTGTTAAGTACCAAGACAGGACAATAAGAATATTCTGGACTCAACGTCCTTGATGTAGCGGTTCATTCATGAATGTACAATAAACTAACTTCTCGACTTCGCTCGCGTGATTATTTGTTATTTTCGTGTTTCTAACTTTGAAAATGACGCACCTCCATACAAAAATTCATCCCTTATTTTACCCACTGAGGGGTAAAACTTTCCAAAGTCTCTTTTTACTGTGTGTATACAACATAAATGGGAGAGGCCTATGTCCAGCAGTGGACTGCGATAGGCTGATGATGATGATACAACATAAAAATCTTCAGCTGCTAAAATTTCAAGTTTATAGCGGTTTAGGATCTGCGTTGATGAATTAGTCAGTCAGTCAAGGCAAGTAATTTTGTAAGTTTAGATAACATAAATTTAAAAAGTAAAGAAATGTTATATACAAAGGCCAGGTTTACCCCAAACTAAAGTTATCTTCTAACGAATCTAGGAAGTAAATAGAGAATAGCAGAGAATATTAACGGCAAAGTCAGTATGTATGTGGAAATAAGTAGAAATGAAAAATTCCAATAAATACATGAGTTAACTAAATATGATTTATATAGGTGTATTTTTTTTCGTTATGAACTATAAATCCTATATCTATAACTATTCCCCGGCTCTCCTACGAAACATATTTAAGCAGAGTCATATTACTGCGTACACAAAAGAACAGTAGTAATACTAAAAGAATCGTAAGAAATAGAGGTAAGCGAATGATTTCGAAGAAAAGGAGAATAACAAAGTAGGAGAAGTTCCTAGGAACAAAATGCTAGAAATGTCACCGTAGTATTAAGGAAAATTAGGGATGTGTGAAATTGTGAACAGACGCGGCCGAGTAGATAGCCAATTCAGTTTTTCCTAAATGATCATACATGTGGAAGTTGAAATATGTAACGAATATATAGGTTTTGCAACCGTACTAATTTATTCCAGAGTAATGTCGAGAAAAAAATAATCAGCATTCAAGAAGGGAAAGGAGAAGAAATACCTTTGAATGATCTACACATGAAAAATACTCAGTCAAGTCAAAGAGAAAGTTCCGCTCAAAAGAAAGATGATAAGCATTCTGCTTAATGACATATTTTTTAAACTTTTTTAGACAACTAACGCCCTAGGACAAAATTCTGTGTCGCGGGGACTTTACACAGACCAGACTCAGAACAACAATTTGTGGATCACACAAAGTTGTGTTCCATGTTTCGATCGAACCCACAACACTCAGCACAGATGAAGCGACGTTATGACCGCTTAAACTACTACGCCATACGTGCATTTGACGGGTCTCTTTACCTAGCAGTTAGTGATTCTGACTTATAAGACGGAGGTCTTCGGTTCCCTTCCAGGACAAATACTTGTGTGATGAACACGATCATTTGTTTTGTTTCTGGATGTAATTTTTCTATAATACCTATTAATAAAACGTATAAGTATGTTTATCAGCAGTCTGGTTACCATAGTGCATCATCAATCAGTTTGGGATCGGACGGCCGACAGCGAGATATCAGCATTGGTTAACGTCTACCATCAGGTGGCACGTACTTGATAGCTAACTTTTAATTATCTGAGTTTCAATTATCTCTGACTCTCAAAGAAATAATGGCGTTGTGTGGCAGATGTCCGTTTTTTTAGTTTTTTAAATTAAGTGTAAAACATCACTGGGATCTTGGCTTGAGAATTGTTTAACATTTTAATAAAAATTCCAAGCTACTATTACACTTGTCCAAAAAGTAAAATAGTATATAAAATATATTATTAAAAAAATAAATATTAAAAAAATAAAACATATTAAAAAATAATATTAAAACAAGTTTTGGTATATCAGTTTGTGTCTGGTGCTCAGGTTGTGCCTCTTTAGAAAAATAATAATCAAAATCAAGTACTTTGTAAATATATCGTTTTATAACATCAGTAACATTAATTTATTATTTTTCTGTACAAGGTTTTAGCATCACAATATGTCTATGCTAAAAATAAATTTGCATTGATGAGTATGAGTATTTACTTTACATTCTTCTACATATTTTTTACATAGTTTTCTACATATTTGTTTTTAAATAAAACCATTTATTTAACGTTTTATTATCATATCATGTTTTTTTTATGTATTCACCATTGATATAATACTTACATAGATGAGTAATTACCGCCTAAAATTGTTGCTACTGCACATCTGTCCACAGGCATATGCGTAGCAAACGTCAATTCAGTGTTCGATGTGGCGTCAACCGAGTTGAACATAGCGACACATGACAGTAACAATCGCCAAAATGGGTAAATGCGTAGTGAAAGAATGCGATTCAAGGTCACAAAACCATAATAAATCATGCGGAATTACTTATCACGTGTAAGTTTATGGTTTTTGTATTGATAATATCGTAAATAAGGCTATAATTGAAATAAAACATTGATAATTGTAATTTAGAATCAGTGTTACCATTAAAAAATCATTTTTGTTTTCCCACATTAGTGGGAGAATTTATAATTTATGAAATAATATGCTTTATACTGTTTTTAAACATTTTGTCAATAATAATAAAATATAGGAACAACGGTAGTTGTTAGGGCTGAATCGATCACTTTGTTTAGGGACCCGTTGAACGTTCACCTTCTGCCAAGCTCGCAGTGCTGGAGACTTTAGTATAAAAGAATTAATTAATTAATTCATTCATTTTTCTTAATTAATTATCAAATATAAATAACAATTGTACAAAAAAATATATATATATAAAATAAAACAGTAAATAAATATAAATAAAAAAATATAAAAAACAAAAAATATATATAAATATATTTTTTTTTTTATTTGTACTTTAAAATATTAAAAGAATTTGCAATACACCCTGGGGATTATTTATTATCAGTACAAGTTGATCATTCACTTTTACTATTAAATGACATTATTTATACATAGGTAAAAATAAGATTGTATCATGAAAGTAAAATATTCACACAAACTTATAAAAAAGAGTCTAAAAGACAATTGTATACAAAACTGATGCTTCATAGCGGAGTTTGATTTTACACTGAATATAAACCCTTTTAACCAAATATTTCTATTTATTTTATTATTTATACCTATGCCATTCAATTCGAAATATATTATTTAAAATATTTAAATTAATTTATTTTATTACAAAATTGTTTTAAAAAAAAATTGTTTCTTGGTTGTTATGGGTAAAATTTCATATGGTAGTCAACACTGGCCCACCATCGTAAAGTTATGTCTTTGTCTAATCCGAGCGATGGTATTGTTCTTGTCTCGCGTGTAAATGAGACATAAATATGTTTACTTGCAAATGTTTCGTGGTATCAAAGCTACGTCGTCAAAGTTCAAAAGTGGTTACACTTTTTTCGACGTGTGATAATGAGGTTTGCTTCTCTAGTGTTGTTTTAACTCAATGGTATTCACAGAAATTATTTTACAGTGATGATATAATATAATATAAACTATAAAATCAAAGTAATACTTCATTTTAATTGAGACACATTAATTTATATATCATCAAAAGAAATAAAATAAACCAAAAGCGGCTAATACAGAAACGGTGAGCTAAAAGCACATTAATACATTTTAATTAAACTGCAACTTTTAAAATAAATCGATTATTTTGAAAAAACTGTTATCACTTAATGGTTTACAAGCCGTGGAAATTGCTAAATACGTATTACTATTACTTTTATAAAAGAAACTGCAGAAATACCCCAATATATTTTTGTTTAGTTTACAAAAGACCATTTTTATTTCTAGAGAAGGTAGAAACGATAGGAATGCGATACGGCAATGTTGGGTACATTCTAAAATAGTAAAATTCAAATCAGTAAAAATTAAATAATTTACATGTAATTGGAAATAACTTTACAACATATATAATAAGAAATAGAAATCAGTGCAAAAAATTTGACTCTTAGCTAAAATATATTACGCCTGCCGGCAAACGAATTTTCTGCATAGAAGTCTGTTCTCTGTTCAGAAAACTCTATTTTTATGTGAGTAAAACTCCAAATTAGTGTTAATAAAAGGAAATACAAAACACGCTGTATAACTATATACTATATAACTATGGACTAAATATGTGCGAAGTTTTCATCGTTAGCTAATACACCGGCCGGCATGCGATATCGATTTCTTCTTAGAAAATATGTTATTACTTTGGGAATGCACTCACCGATATTCTTCATGAAGTCGTCGAAGTTCTCCGAAGAGATCATTTTGTACTTCTTGCCGATGAATTGATCCATTTTTAATTTTTATTATAGAAGTATTTCAAGTTGGATTAAAATATGTGAGTCTGTCCTACCGGTCGGAACTAGAATGAATATCGATATCCGCGGCAAACGATAGCTAACCAGCTCCCAGTGCCTTGTCGCCTCGGCGCATGCGTAACGAACGAATGGATTTGAATGAACGGAACGAATGGAGTTACTGAACCGCGTTGACCTTGACACCGGTTTTATACTCTGTGCTGTGAGAGACTGTGAGGGGTGGGGCTTGTGTGGCCTGATGTTAACGTATTCCGACCGTTGATTTTGTTTGTTTGGTAAATTGGATGTTCTATTCAGTATTATGTCTTTATTAGAGAATATTACTCACATATCCGTCGGTCTGCTTAGGTGGAATTAAATTGAAATTGTAGGATTTTTTGTAGGACATTCTTACCTAAAATAAATAATGTATTGTAAAATTAATTTCTTAGGTAGGAGGTCTGATCTCTACTTTTGGTCAATTAAACTATATCCATCCTTCTTTAATGAAAGAACAATCATGTTCTTTCATTCTCACATTAATACTCAATGGCCCCCTATGATTTTAGTAGCCGGATGAAGCTATTCTCAACTCAACAATGATTTCTTTAGTGAACAGGGGAGTATAATTCTTTGAGAGTGATGTAATTTAGATATATAAATATGTAGCTCAATAGTGTATTTGAATAATACATCGGTTCCATTGGGAATTACATTTGGTCGGGCTTAAATTACTTAAACACACACAGAGAGACAAAATTTCATATATTTGCACGTACTTGACATTATTTATTAAAGTTAATAATGCCAATGACGACCACTTATGTAAAATAAGAAAAAAATATGTTATAATATTATTATATTATATATTAAATTATTAAAATAATATTATTATATCATATATTAAATTATTATAATAATATTATTTTACTATTTATTAAAATATTATATCATACCATATCTACTAAAACGCGTATTCGGTGTCATATACAAGTAGTTTGACTGAATGCTGTCTCTAAAACTATAGGCGCCGGCCCAGCTAGGGAACCAGTATCTTTTGTGAACATCTTGCAGCTTAATTTTCATATGTTAACATTATCTTTATATTTTTTGTGTGTCTAATGAACATTAATTAATTAGCAATATGTACCTTAAACGTAATTTAAAATAATTTTTCACCATCTTTAGCTCTTAAGAGTCCAGTACTGGACATAGGCCTCCCCTTAGAAAGGTTTTGGCCTATTTTACCACCCTGGCCAGACTAGTTGGTAAAGGATTTATTTTAAGTTTTCCTACTCTTTGCCTGTTGTCCTGCTTAGTTTTCTCCCTTAGTCGACTCTTACGAAACCCACGTCATGAACAGGGGTGACGACACTTCGTATTCTGTATTAAAAATAACTGTCTAAACAGTAGCACATTAATATTTATCAATGCTTTTTTAACGACTGACGCAAAATTTAAGACTGTCAAAAAAGTAAAGTTGGCCAATCAAAAAGGTGATTCCATCCAACTTTACTTTTTTGACATCTATTCACAGCACAAGGATCCAATCAATTCTTTTACTTATTTCATTTAGAAAACTCCCCATTCGGAGTGGTAAAAATAAAACTAGTATGTTTTTTGTGTTGTGTTTATTCAAATAGGTAATTACTACACAATAATTATAATTGTTATCATATTGTTATTAATATGAAATCGTATTAATATGAGTCGTAATATAATTAAAATGAGACATAATAACGTAACGTAACTTGTACAATGAAAATCACAAAACAGATATAATTTGAATGGGACAAATCCATAAAATAAAATTACATCCCGTACTTGATGGATTGACAGCAAATTATCAATAGTTGGCTTCAGTTTTGTTAGGAATAACCGCAAATCTCCCCGTTCCGTGATATTCAATCTGCTCTTTTTTTGTTAAAAGGTTACGACACTAAAACTTTCAACAAGATATAACGCGGAAAACACTATCAAAAGCTTTTTCGCAATTCCCTACAGTCCAGTATATTTTTTGAGTAATTCTGACTGCAGTCAAAATGTTTAATACCCTCTTTTAAATTTAACCTTCAGCTCCTCATTGGTGGTAAGCTCGAGTAGCTCCTCTTGTAATATTACATTCTCCACTTCCGTATCATCAAATGGATTAAGATTCATGGCGGTATTTCCATCGTCAGAATACAATCAAATCTGATTTTAAAGTTATCATGCAATTAAATGTTGAACGCATGTCTGAATATTCTTATCAAAACATTTTACCTGTGACAAGTTTGAAAACTGGGAAAATTAGCGCCGACTAATATTTTGCTTCATAAATTTTAATTTGCAAGAAAAGCTGAAATTACACTCTTTGTTTTATTAAATTGAGGCTGTCTTCTTAAAGTTCACATCATTAAAGTTTTTGAACAAATCTGTCAAATATGCGATGTCTGCTTTCAAATTGACCAGGTTTTCTTTTAAATCTTACTTTTCAGAAGCTCAAACTTATTCAAAAAGTGAGTAAAATCTTGTTAAATATGCACCTTTCGACAACACACATAGCACAATTGCGCAAATAAACGCGTATTCAACGCAGTGCTTCTTATTTTGTTAACTGCATTAATCACAAATTGAAGCGATTGGCGCAATCTATCACTCAAGTTTTTCGCTACTAGGTGTTGTCGGTAGATCACTCAATGAAATGCAGTTACCTCTGGAATAATTCTTTTAAGATGTCCAACCATGGCAGGAGCTCCATCTGTTGCCACCGAAATAATGTTTGTGAATGGAATCGATTTTTCCTTAAACAAATCACTCAGGACATTAAATATTGTTCACCTTTAGTGTCCTTCTCCAAAGTTTTTGCGAATAGGCTCTTCATGAATTTCTTCGTCCATAACAAATCCAACATATGACAATAATAATGCTTCATTACCAGGTAAAGTTGTTTTGTCCAGTTGAATAGAAAAATGAGTTGTTTGCAGATAATTACACAAGAAACTTTTAATATCAGAGGTCATTTCATCAATACGTCTTTGTACAGAGTTGTTTTCTCAAAGTTTTTTTTTTAATATGTCAAGTGGGGATTTGTGCAGAACAGTTTTTAAAACCTCTTCAACAGCGGATAAAATTAACTGTTCCCAATGGTGTGCGATTTTCCAGATTTCGCTATAAGTAATGAGATATTGTAAGATGCTGTGCACCTCTTTGTGGGTCTCTTTTCATATTTTTCCTTCAATGCTAGAAAATATTTCACATCTTTACCTATTTTATCAAGATGACACCTTCTTAGACGATATTCAAGCTTCGATTTAAGTAAATCGGTGATATCATTTAATGATTTTGCACCTGATTGAGCGTCAGTGAAATATATCTTTTTGAATCGGGGATCTAATATCGTTGAAATCTCCAAAATGTGCACTATTTCGATATATTTAAAGCATTTATCAATTTCGACGAGTATTTTTGCTTTAAATTCTGAACTAACATCGGAAGTAGATGCAGTATTAGCAGATTTGATCGATTTGGTCATACAAAATATAATTGGTATGATAATACTACTTGTAACATAATCTTGACCCGAGATCTCTTTAGTAACGTCTTCGATACGGGATACAAAACATTAATAATTTCTTTTATGATGGCAATTTCATTGCCACCACGTTTGATTTTGTTCGAAGGGCCCGTATTATGAAGTATTTTAAACTAATTGCTTAAGCTCACACGCTTCGTATCACAGTAATACAAAGAAAGAAGACAAACAAATCAGAGAACACTAATAATGCTAACATACCCAATATACCCAAAGATAACATAAACAAAATATTATTATGGTATCACCTCCCTTCATATTTCACATATCACCGCTTTTGATATTTGTTTGCTGTAACTCGAAACTAATCTCATTCAATGTGTAGATAATTAATCTTACTTTGTTGTAATTCGTATGGTTCGATTCAGTTGATGTTTAGGGTTTAGTTGATACGATTTTTTCATTACGATCAATTCGATCGCATACAATTCTATCTAGGCGAAGATTGCATCTATTTCAATCGATCCAAAAAACCGTTGGATCGTAATGCTTTGAATCGAACTTTTGAAAGATAACCTGGACCATTTTGGGAAGTTTGGCACTAGATCAACAGGCCTGTAGTTATCTATAATATCTAGGTATTTAAAAATATAGGAGTATATATAGTTATTTAGAAATACTTATATATATACCCGGTTGAAGGCAGACGGGTTCGTATAGGGTTTGTGTCAAGTTTTCCTTCTCTTTACGGTGCTGTTGAGTTGCGTAGTTTGCTCCCGTAGTCGGCTCTTACAACACCACCGGGATGAATAGGTCTGGTGACACTCTGAATTCTTAATCTGTCACCACACGGATTAAGAATATTACGTAAGTGGGAGTAAAATGACAGTGGGCAAAATGTGGGCGGTTAATACGCCTCTTTCTACCCCTTCGGGGATAAAGACGTGAGTGAATGTAAGTATATTATTTTATTCTTTCACCCGGACAAGCTTAAACTCTCTGCAGCGGTTGAAGAAACTCTGGGCTCTAGGGATGGAACAATATCACAACCTAATGTATTTAATCATATGATTTAAAAGTATTTCATAATCACACATGTGACTAATTTACAAAATCACTGACACACAGACTCGCGAAAGGTCTAAATCTCAAAAAATAATAAAATCGTAGCCTTTCAAAAAAAGAAAACTCCATTAAATAAAAAAGTTTTGGTGGCATTTATCCTATTGTCCATGATCACATCAAAGTAGTGATTTATCACAAGTGAAATCGCAATGTCTGAGACCAATCATTGCTCCATATGATTATGATTTAAAAGTACAAATATATAATTTCCATCACTACTAGGGTCTTTGTCGCTTTAAAAATGAAAATTCCGAAGGATATTTCGAGTTAGCCTGTCATGTCAATATTTTTTTTTGTTTTTAGAAAGACAAGTCTCGCATTAGGAATATATCCTGTGTCGCGACCACACCCAACCCAG